CTCTTGGCGTCTCGAGCTTCAGCTTCCTCGTTTACCTTTCGCGTTTCGAGCATGCGGTCCGTGACGATTACGTCTACAGCATCGCTCGCCTTGTCAAAGTGTTCGACAATGATCGCAGCAGCGATGAGAGTGATTGTTATTAACAGGTGTTAGAAGCTGTTCATTTTGACTGCGACCCGCTGGCGACCAGCCACAGCGACGGCGAGTTGCGGACGGGCTCGCCGTAGTCACCGTCGTCCGGGAATATCTGGCAGGTGCATGCAGGGTGGAAGGTCAACGGGCTGGGGGCGAGATCAAGAATAGCTTCCAGGTTACCGAAAAAGTGGTTTGAGCGGTTTTGATCGTACCGCGGCGAGGAGAGCTCGGGCCATCATGGGGGCGCCTAGAATGAAAGAGCGTTCATGGTCACGTGGGTTATGGACACCATGGCGTGACTAGCTCGGGTAGTGTTGCCTGGTCGCCAGATGAAAATGATAAAAATTCGTAAATTGACTATTGCAATTACTATAGCTCTAAAAATCGTGTAACTTGGTGTATACACTAAGTAGCTTGTGAGCATTCCATTTCAAGAATAAGCTATCCGTTTAATTTTCGTGTCATAACCCCTTTAAGGCTTTGTTCGTGTTTTTGGTAATCGTTATGGGCGTGCACCTCCGAACCGGAAGTCTCCCCGGCTTCCTATCTGGTGCCATGATGTCGCTTCCAGAAGCTTCCTACCTCCATGGTAAAAACACTTCAGCCACCTTGGTGCTCAAAAACGTTGTCGCCAGTTGTGTGAAGCTCCATCTGAAATCGCAGAAAACAGATTTTCGTTCACCACATGTGTTTAACCAGTCCGCGACAAAGCAAAACGATATAACCCGAGATTCTTGGCGCCATTTCTGCAGTTTAGGAAGTGTCAATTTCGAAGCAATTGCGATCGCTCTGCATTGAGCATTAGGATGGTGGCGCCCACACCAAAATTGTGGAAAGGAGTTCCGACCCTCTAAGCGCTGCTAATTTAGCGTTTCTAGTCTAGCTCTCCTGGCAGGTCCTCACCTGATCAAACTTTTTCCCCGCTAAACCGAGAGCGCGTTGCTTGTGTTCACACTTGTCCATAAAAAATGTATCCTAGTCGAGCGACAAAGATTTCCAATTTCGATACATCTATGGAATGTAGTACGAGTGCACGTTTTCGTTTCTCAATATTGTAAACTTTAGGACGCAACCTCCTGTGGGATTTTCCTTTTCCGGGATCAGTTTGGATGGGAAGTTTTTCCAGTAAAGAGCGCCGTCTGGAAGTTTCTTGCGAATTACAAATGAAGGGTCGTCCTACACGCGTCCGCCCGTCGAAATACATTGGCATCATGCAGGGTTGCAATTGCTGTTTATATCCCGTACTGCTAATACAACAAAAAATATCATTAAAAAATACTCCCGTCAATAAGCTCGAAGATATCTGCTGACAATGTTGGTCGTGCCGGACGGAGCCCTCCTAAAACGGCGACCGCACAAAGTAAGGCGAGGGGAGAGGGTAGACGGATGTGCAGAAACTTATTGCAAAACTGTCGATTGGGTATTTTATGGCGTGGGGGCTTACTCCCTGAAATGTGCAGTTCTTGCGAGAACTCATTGAATACTCCATGGGTATTAGTGTCTGATTTTTGAAGGAACATTATTTATGAGTAAGAATTTATTCGTTTACACTACACGAACCGAATAACTTTAACCCACTTTAGATGGACTTCGTAAACTGGAGGCGACGAACGACAAAAGGGGACGACACAAAATACGTTTCAACTTATTGTGTTGTGTTTATTGTCTAAACGTATTTTGTGAGAGGTGTCGTGTGTTGCCTTCCTTTGGGGTACGTCGTCATCGGTTTTAAATTAGGTGCTTCAGTGGGGGGACTACTCCGAAATCACTGGAATTGTTTCGAGAGAAACATTCGTTTTAGGTTTCAGCCGAAGAGCGAAAACCTTCACGTATTTCGCCATTCCCGTTCAGTGCATCTACTGACTCTGCTCCTTATGACAATTATTTCAGATTTACGCCATGAATATCTTGAACTACCGCAATATCGGCAATTTCAGCGCCATTATTGTCGTTGTGCTCCTATGGGAAACTGCGTTCTATCTATTGACATGGAACCCACGGTTAAGCATATGCTTTTCAAATTATAACTGCAGTTCCAATATCACTTTACATTGTTTGCCGAGAGCATCTACTCAAGTTGGCGATAGGTAAGGTGCTTTTCTCGGTAATTAAAGATATAAGTAAGGATAGAAATGCATATCCCTGCTTAACGAAACGCCGCACTCTTTAGATAGAGAACCGCAGAGTCTTACCTGTTTCACTTCCTTAGGCATTGTATCGGCGAAAAAGGCAATCGAAAGAGTTACGCAGCATTTCAGAGATTTACAGCTGCAGCACAATAAACGTTTGCGAAATTCTGCTAGTTGCCACAAAGATAACCATCAAGACAACATAAAATATGGCGTAGAATAGCGACTTACTACGACACCTGCTCGCAGTACAGTTAGTATGCCGTATATATAAAAAAAGTCTTTATTTTTGTTTACGAAATGATTATATTGGTTTGCAGGGTTCATTGGCTTCACTTTGAATGTGCCACCATTGTAACAACGAGGAAATCTTTAGCACTTCCTCCAGGAAACTGTATACGAAGGAATACTACAACGAAATTCTACCGTATTTTATTATCTAACTGTCAACCCCGTTCTGGCCACACCAGGGAAACACCAACTTTTCTGGCTCGAAATGACACCAAAACATTATTTGAAAGGAATAAACCGAATGTCGTTATGTCTCCATGAACTTAAAAGCAGCGCCGCTCCGCGAAAGTACGGCGGCCAGCTGCGTGCGCGCGAGCTCTGTTGAACCGGATTTCCCTTCTCTCCCAGTCTATTCACCTCTTGCGGAGAGAGGGAATGGCACCTACGTTATACCGCTTTGACGACACCAAGTGGTGGAGCTCATAACCACGCTAGCTCCCAAGCAGCTTTGCCTGTGCTGGGACAGTTGACGTCACGTCTCCCGTGATGCACCGCGCTCTACGATGGCTGATCTTGGAGCGCTCGCTGGAATTTGTCCTTTGGAACGAAACATTTAGCGATGTGTTCAAAAGTACAAGCGTGTCATCGTCATGATTAGCAGATAGAGTTGATCATGTTTAACTGATTTCTGAACATGAGAGGTATATTTGAAGTTTCGATTCAGTGTCCTTTTAAGCACGAAGACATATCCAGGACGCGAATGGGAAATTTCAGAAAATGGCCTGGATCATGTAATGAAAATACATCTTCCCCGTTCAGAAAACACCCGTTCTTGATAAGCGCACTTAGATGCTAATCTGACCAGTATATGTATGTCTGTATACACAAAAATAACCTCGCAGAAGCGTACATAACCCGCAGTTTGCCCGAGAAAATGTTATAAACGATGTGTTCTTGTTGTTATATTATGTTATGGACAACGTCTTCATAACCGAAAAGATATTCACGAATTTATTACAAAAAAAGTTATATGTGCAGCGCCATTGCCTGTTCGAGCTAAAACCTCGAGAAGGTAGGCCTAAAGGTGCACTCAAGCGTTTTTTGTAGAAGCCTGATTTTTAATGGCATATTGTTCGTTGGAATTCACTCAATAAAAATGATCAGTTCTAAATGCCAAGACGCTTTAATAAACTCACAGAAATAGAAATGCACGGACACTATTTTTATTTTGGGTGAAGAGGAGCAAGGGGGGGGGGGGCAAACTCGGGCCTTGGGTCTCTATTACCTCCTTAAAATTTGACCAATGAAAATATTAACTTGCATGGAGACTCTGAGCGTCACTATTATAGCTCTTTTTAGGCGCCTTTTGCATTATATTTACGTCAGATCTTTGGGGATAGGAGACGCAATACAGAAATTAATTTTTTGGAAACGCCGTCCTACAGCGCCCCCTAATGTCTCCGAAGCGCAAAAAAGGGGCGTGTCATGATCTTTGATTAGGTCTTTGATGCAGAAGCCGGCCACCCTTAAGTGTAATTTCGAGAATTTTAGGATGCTCAGAGCCCGTAGGCTGAATTATCACCATAAATAGACGATCTCCGAATCCAGTTTTGTGCCCCCTTAACACATGATTACACAAAAAAGTTGAAAATGATTCGACAGTCATACTAATATTAATCAACTACAATTACGACGTTTAGCCAATTCATCGCTGTATCACTAATGGCAGACAAATAGTGTAATAGTGTTAAAATTAACTTGAAGGGTTCTCTTGAATTACGGAGGTTCCAGTCGTGTATGCTATGTACTTGAATTTTCCCCACAGGAAATTAGGTGCGTATAGTTCCCGTAAATTTTTTAAAAATTTTTCTCCAGTCCAGTTTATTTTTTTTTCAGGAATGTTAACGAAATTGTGAAAGCTACGACAAACAAGACTTCCTTCGATTCAACGATGTTAACAAGTAAGCCGGTAAAAGCTCGGTTTATATCTGGTAGCTGAGAACTTGCTGCTAAAATAGGATTTTCAAATATCGCATACGTATTTCTTTAAAAAGATATTTTGTATAAGCGCCATACCTTACTCAAGATGATATATAAAATACCCCAAACTTTCGCGAATTTCATTTTTGCAAATAGAAGCGACACTAAGTGTTTTCGGAAAGACCGAACTGCAGCATAAATAAACTAAACAAATATGATGGCCAATACCCTGCCAGAGATAAAAAAACAAAACAAAATGTTCTTACTATTTGTTCTTACTTAGCAAGAACAAATTGTGCTTAGTACGTGAGGTACAAGAGCCGCCAATTATCTGTCAGAAAAATGTAAGGAAAATTGCGACTGTTTTCTGAAAAAAGGTTGCCGCATATAAGAGACGAATGACGTCTAATTCGAAAAACAAACAATTTTCCTGTTGACACCATGCCCAGACCGGCAGGAAAACTTTTAAAATTAATAACCTGATATACTGGAACATTGACACTTTATTACCTCCGCCAGCGCTGCATGCAAAGGCAGAGTGAGTCGTGTGTCACAGGTTGTATACATGGCAAGCTTGATTAAGTACCCATAAGTATACATTTGAGTTTGTGCATTTATTTTTACAGACATTGGAGATATGCAAGCGGCCACTTATCTTAAGCTTCAGCATGATATAAAAGACATTAGAAGATTTCTGGCACATCATATGGGAAATGTGAAGAATGGCCGAGCAGCTGCTTTCAAGTCAAGAGAGTTTCTAAGGTACTTATTGTAAAGAGCATTTTTCCTCTTATACCTGGCAAAAAGCACATTTCTGTAAAAGCGCTCTCGTGGTAGTCGACGGGTACGGGGCTATCAAAAACATCTCCAAATTAGATTTTCTTTGATTTAATAAATTACACTTCGGCAGTTACCGGCTTGACCCAGGAATGTGGCTGGCTGTTTAGCACACCTCATGACAACTTCACATCTGATCACAACATTCCCGATAATATGGTGCCCTGAGCTGTTTCTCTGCAAATTTTATGGTCCGTAGAATTGAGTTGGCCAGTTGTGCAGTTCCTGGTACGTTTTTTGTGCATGTTACTCAGCAATTTATTGGAAATCAATAGTTTGTTCCCAATGCTAATTGGTGGGGAATATCTTAACATAATTTGACAGGCTGTGCATACTCCAAACTGCACGTTTGTTGTCCGTCACAGGCAAGGATAATGAAGGTAGTAAAAACCCGAGACTCAGGAACACAGAAGGGGACGAACACGACACAACGTCCCCTTTTGTGTTCCTGAGTCTCGGGTTTTTGTTACCATGAATCACCACCAGATCGCTTGTTTTTTAGGTATTGTTGCAAGGATAATCAAGCGTTTTGTGAAGCTGAACGTCAGGAAAATTAAAAATTAAACATATCTCGAGCATCCCAACCTGTGGAAGGCCACACACGTACTAATAAAATCAACAAAGGAGAGTGAGCTTGAGGAGCAAACAAAACGTCCCGTCACTTTTTGTAACCAGTAATTTGTACGAAATATATGGTTGCCAGATGAACATTTATAGCTGATATAGTTGAAAACTCTCTGTGCGTAAGTTTATGTATGTTTTTACTACTTATCTTTACTGTCGATGATTATAGTGAAATGCTAGGTTACAAGAAGAAGAAAAAAAGTCAAAATTGTGCGAGTGTCTAATGTTTGCTATAATCACACGTAATTTAAAAACATAAAATAAATTTGCGCAAAGAAATCAACAACAAACAACTGTTCCCCAAGCGCTTAGAGCGGTCGTGGTGGAGGCAACCGCTCTTACTCCTAGCGTTAATTTCAATTAATCAACTTGTTATTTGAAAAGCCCTATTTATTTTCAGTCTTAGAAAATGAGCTGGACGTGTAGTCCCTCAAAGCTTCAGAAACGCAGGTCGTCGTGGGGAACCTCGTGCAACTTCTCATCGCTTGTCAGCCAATGATATCGCGACATCAGCCATTAAGAACAGCGAAGAATCAATCACAAAGCCAGAAGCGTGAACACAGAAAGCCATGCCCTGCATTTATGAAGCCGCCAGTGACTATACATAGTATATGCAAACATAATGAATGTCCTAAACAATATATACTGCCTACAAGAGTGGTGTAATAAATTGCTTTCACGTTTAGGGTCATTCAAAACAACGTAGAGGTCCTGAAGCGATTGGAGGGAGTGAATGACTATGTTTCTGCAAAGATGGCAGCTCTTCAAAGCTACGTCCAGCGAACGATTTCGAGTATTCAGGTATTACATGACCTCTCGGAACTTTAAGAACTGAAACCACTTTACACATGTTGACCATTTAAAAATTAGCGAACAACTTTGTACAAGGTGGAAAATTACCTAAGTACTACGATTAACCCGGCATAGAGCTCATGTGCGTAATTTTTGAACGTATACATACAATTTTAATACGGACATGATATATATGTTGTCATTCTTCGCACTTTAGCTTATAAAAAATATAAAATAAAACAAACCTAGTACTACGTAAAGTTCACCATATGTGTTGACTGTTTTGTTCGGGTTCCCTGGTTCGTGGTAATTGAAACTTAGGTAGAATCATACTTATGTAGTTACGTAAACAATTGGCGCAAAAGGGACGCTAGGAGCGATTAATAAGGAACATCTGGCACTCCCGAGCAAAAGACTGAGCAATAAATCAAATCCCCCAGTAAACTTATGAGAACATAGAAGAGCATAATGACTAATGAATGCTTCATATAAATTATGTAAGTTCTGATATATTTATAGACATCTAAAATATATATATTTTTTACTTTTCTATAGATAGCAACAATGGGAATAAATCAAAACTGTTGGGCTGTAACTTTTTTTTTTCTCGCCAGAATCCCAGTAATTGCACGGCGGCACCAAAGCTTCTCTGTCGACTTACGAATCCGTACGGACTGGCGTCTGCTGTGCATGACCTTCTTTGGTGCTTCGTGGCGGCCCTCCGAACAGGAAGGACACTCATCTTGGACAGCACGATGTGGAAATATGCTCCCGGGCGGGACTGGCTTAAATCGCTTCTTCCGGTCACGGGGGCCGCGTGCACGAGCATTCGTACCCCCGACAATGAAACGGAGATCTACATGTTTCCGGGTGCGTGCCAGGGGTCCTGCTTTTATTGTTGTCTACCTTTTAGGGCTTTTAGAGCGCAGCTCTTAGGGGCCCGTTTCCGGCTTGAGCGGCGTCGCCGTCGGCGTCGGCGTAACCGCGAGGTCACGTGACCCCCCCTCAGGTCACGTGTCCCCCCCTCAGGTCACTTGACCCGCCTCAGATCACGTAACCCCCTGAGGCCACGTGACGCCCCGAGGTCACATGACCCCCACAGGTCACGTGACCTCCCTCAGGTCACGCGACCCCCCCTCGGGTCAAGTGACCCCCCTCAGGTCACGTGACCCCCCTCAGGACACGTGTCCCCCCTCAGGTCACTTGACCCGCCTCAGATCACGTAACCCCCTGAGGCCACGTGACCCCCTCAGGCCACGTGACCGCACTGAGGCCACGTGACCCCACTGAGGCCATGTGACCCCCCTGAGGTCACGTGACCCCCGAGTTCACGTGACCCCCCTGAAGTTACGCGACCCCCGAGGTCACGTGACCCCCCTGACGTCGCGCGAGCCCCCTTAGGTCACGTGACCTCAAGGAGTCACCTATCCCTCAGTACGCTTCCGTCTTCCTCCTCAAGAGCTGCGCTCTAACCGGCGTTACAGGGAATTGTAAACGGCTTCCATTTTTTCTTCTAATCTTTATTTCACGCCGCGTAACAAGTTTTGAGCTAGGGGCGATTTCGAAACATGCTTCTATTTTGAGACGCCTACCACAAAATAGAAGTACGTTTCGAAATCGCTCTTAGTTCAAAATTTGTCTCGAAAAATAAATGTGAGGAAGATTTTTGTTTTTTTAGGTTGGTTATTTTGTGACATGTACCCGTCATATCCAAAAACTTTAGAAGTTGTTTCTTTCTTTATTACGTTTTGCTACTTTTTTACCGCGAGCTCTTGTGGGGTTAAAAAGATATTCGAAGGCCTCAATTCTTATAGAAATTCGACAGCAGATAATGAATAGAAAATATCTAATTCCAGGAACAAGACCTCGGAAACCTATGAAGGATCTGCCATCCGCCATTGTGGCGACATTGGTAGCCAATAACGGGGACCCCTACGCGTGGTGGTACGGGCAGATCATGAGCTACGCCCTTCGGGTCAACAACTCAACGCTGCAGAAAATTCACAAGTTCAAGGTGGCTAGGGGCTACGAACATCCCATTGTCGGGTGAGTGACCGACAGAGTGTTCACAAAAACAAGAAAGCGCTGCGAAGCTATGGCTGCAAAAAAAAAGGTGCAGCAATTTCGGCTTTGAAATTTTCGTACTTTCCTCTGACATAGTGGCAGTGGCAATATAGCAGACTTTTACGGCACTCATTGCAAGTAATCAAACTACTTAGAATCGATTAATTTTACAGTGATTTTGTAATGATGTAGCAATCACAAGAATAGTTTGAGGTAGCAATCACAAGAATAGTTTGAGGTAGCAATCACAAGAATAGTTTGGTTACTGTTGAAATAAATAAAATTACTTGTAACCGTTACAATGATATCATTCCCCTCCAATAGACCGATCTCACCAGCTAGTTAAAGTACGCCACCGCTGCCTCCATGCATCGTGAGGGCTGTAGTCTTTCTGCACGCGCGACAACCCCGCTGGAGGTCTGCGCGAGCAGAGCACGAGGCGCGGTACGAGCCGTCTCGTGAACTGGCGTCTGCCTCCTGTGAACTACAGTTATGGCGGCGTCACGCATGCGTGGAACACTTGGTGAGATCGGTCTATTGCTGCCTTTTGTTTCCCATGCACTTCTACCAGGAAATCCTCGAACCAAGTCTCCGATAAAGGGACGGTCTACCAAAAAGAGTGGATTCATAAAGTAGTTTCTAATCTAATGATTATTTTATTTGTTCCAACTATAAACGCATCGCGAGTATGTTTAATGCAATTTAACTTCGGTGTGCCACCTCTAAGAGAAAGTTGCAAAATTGGGCGAATTTACCTTCTTTTTCACAAAATTTACCATCACGCATTTTTTGCGCTGTGCACTGCTCATTTCCCTGTCATATATATCATGGTGGTTAGATCACCGCCATAAAGTAGACAGTACACCATGCGACACTAATCCCTCTTTTTATCTTTCATCCCACGCACCTCAAATGACTGGAACCATCTTCCCTTTCAAATTGCAATAATTCAGGATTTTGATTTATTTCAACCCGCCGTTCGTAATGTAACTGACTAACTATTTCACATGTATTGTGCCTTACTGTGTAGGGCAATCTTTGTAACCTTAAGTTTTTGTTTTATGTTGATGTGTATACCACTTCCCTCTTCAATGCCTAACGGCCCTGAGGGTATGTATCAAAATAAATAGATAAATATATAGACAGCACAAAAAAAACTCGTTTTGAAACCGCCACAAAAAAATATGTTTTGAAATTCTGAAGTAATCGGAAAAGTGACCGTTACTTTTCAAGAACAGACAATTACTTTTCATTTCGTCACTCAAAGGATAAATCAAAGGATAAATTTTCACCACCTTTGGGGTGGTGAAAAGTTGTCCCAAATATAACGACTCCTAAGGTAAATATGACGACCCCACACGTAGTCAAAACGCAGGAAGTCAAATTTAACTATTCCCTGAAGCAACATGGCGGCCGGTTAGCGAGGCTGGAATTCCCGGTAAGGCCCAGCGAAGAGCACGGCTTTTCGGCCGAGTAAAAGAATAGAGCGCATACGCAAATTCGACGACGCCTTCCAAGCGCCATCAGACACTCTAAACATCCGTGCCTAGACACCGGTATCGTACATATATCCTGTAAGGACGGCAGTGTGTGTACCGAAATCGTCGCAATTGCCCTCGACGGCATTTCGCTATATTGACTGTATTTTTACCGCCAGCGGAGAACGCTCGAAAAAGAAATCGTTACGCGAGGAATGGGCATGCTGACTTTAGTGAAGACAACCTATGCTTGTCGTATGCGGCGATGAATCGCTGGGCAACTTCGTGGACATCAACGAGAGGCGTTCGGCTCGCACCCACGCTACCACTATTTTTTGTTTCTTTGATCTTTTTTTTTTTTTTTTCGTCTACTTCTTCCGACGTGGATATTCATTCGTGTGCGAGTGTGCCGGCACTTCGCAGCTCTTGGACAGAGAACCAGCACTTAGGTGGCGGGGAGCACAATTATTACGATTGTTATCACTGATCTCTATTGTAGTGGGCTGGATCGCGGATTGGGAGCCCGTCGGTGTCGCCACCGGCGGCCATTGCTTGACACCAGGCAATACGCGCAAGTCTATGGGAAAAATGCACAAAAGTAAGAATACTGAAGCGTGTACGCTGTGCTCGTAGGCAAGAATTTTATGGTGTGCTGCGATGATCGATCCTTTTGTTGGGTGTTTGGAGATCGAATCGGTATTTGTGAAAGGTTTGGTCGCCGATTAAAAAAAATGAAACGTACCGGAGCACCTACGGCTGAACTGGCAAGCTTGCTCGCGTAGTAGAGTAAACAAAGGACCTTCACGTCAATGAGGCCGTCCTCGGGGAAGCCGAAAAGTCGATGAATGACAAAGAAATTCTATCTCGACAGCGGCTTTCCGGGAATGAGCGAATTCCGTGTAGCAAAGCCTTCGACCTTGTCATCTGCTAAGCCCAACTCAACGAAACGGCCAGCGATTCCGCGGTAACTCTAGTAACTCTCGCCTCAATGAGCTGCACTACATTCTTCGCCAGCGGAGTCACTCTCGAACACAAAATATTTATTTTTAAGAACCGCGAGGGCTGTCAGTTTTAATGTGTGTACGTAAACTAGTTATGGGATTATCGAAAGGTAGCCCAAAAAGTCAGTGCCGACAACAGCTTAGAAACGGGAAACAACGGCACTTTTTCTCGTTTTTCCCATAGAGTCCCATGAATTCGCTGGTGTAAATCAATGGCCGATGGTGGCGACACTCGGTCCCAGCTGCCGAGGCCGGGGTCCGCGAGCCAGCCTGCTACAATAGAGAACAATTATTGTTACCAACTTAGAGGTAGGGACGTATCGGGAAGCCCGGCGTGCCAGTGGACCCAGGGTCAGCGATCAGCTGCTAAAAAATCAATAGATGCATGACTGCTCACCACTTAACTTCTTAAATCTGGCGGCAGCTTGCGCCACCTAGAAAGTGTAGTAGTAACCGCTAGATGACAAAAAGAAGAAATTATTATTTTTATTTAACATTCTTCTCGTAATGTCTTCTTTTCATTTAACAACCACTCATACACCAACACATCAGAGAGGGCTCGGCGTCCACGCAACGAGCAAGATGTTCAAATTCACTTTGTTCATCACGCAGATGTTGCCGTGCAGAAACTCTAATGATACAGGAACTCTAATGAGAAGAACATCAGAACACGGCACTTTTCTTCCGAAACACACAACCAGCCAACGAGAAATGATATGGAAAAAAACTTTATATACGTGGAAAGTTAAGCGCCGTTCACACTCTAGCGACCGAGAAGACTGAGAGCGACCAGACCGGTTTTTAATCCTCTTGCGACTTCTTAGGACCGGGCGCGCTACTGCGGAGCTGGTCGAGTCACAAGAGGATTAAAAACCGGTCTTGTCTCTCTCGGTCGTACTCGCTTGCAAGAGTGTGAACAAGCCTTTAGTCATATTTGAGATAGTGGCAATCGGAGGAACATGTCGGCTCAACGGCTGCTGTTGAGGTCACAGGCGTTAATGATGAAAACATTTTCTAGAAGAAATCATCGAAAGAGAAACAATTATTTTCACAGTACTGCGATTCACCGTAAGCACCCGTCGTGAACGGAGGAGATGCCAGCTCCTCCGCGTACGGGCAGCCGTCGATGAAGCTTCGTGGCGGGTGCTGCTGCATACTGGTTCTTCGCCATAGGGCCTCGAGAGAAAAGGCCAGTGAAGACAACGGCCGTCTTGCAAACGTCAACTCCTCGGGAGGCCGGAGCTGGGCGGCCAACCTTGCGCGCTGGCTATATTCTATTCACCCCTAAGCAGAGACTGCGGTGGAAGCGATGTCCCCCCCCCCCCCCCTCGTTGGACTAGTTTTGGACCAGTTATACATCTCTTTCGCCACCCGATCACGCTCCCGCTCATACCCACGAGCAGACAACCGGGTTAGGTGATGAAATAAAGGCTGCTGATTGGTCCAGTGGGCACAGAGTTTCCACTGCAGGCTTTGGCGTGAAAGGAGTATTGGGCAGCGTGTCGTAATGCAATGAAATTTGATGAAGTCCAAAACTGGGTACAGCAGAGCGACCGGCCAAAGGGAAAAAATCAGACGGTTTAAAGGCCACGTCTTGCAGGGTAGATTGGTACACTAAACGATCACGAGCGTTGGAACACCGTGAGGAACCTCAGGGGCTTATTTACTGCCCTGAAAGAAATAAAGGAACAGAAGCGTTGTTGGAACACTGCAAAGAACCTCAGAAGCTTATTTACTGCCCTAAATAAAATGTTTCCATTGCAGCAGAGCCATATATGGGGAGAGTTTGGCCAGTCTATGATCTCGCCATTGTAACATTCCCTTCCCGAGTGAGCCAATCAGCCCGCGGCGCAGAGCGAGAGGCGTGAGCGCATGCGCATGAACCCTCTGCTGCTTTCAGCTGAGGAGGGGGGGCGCTATTTTCATTCATTTGCCCGGCGGAATGCATGGGATCGACATCCAAATTTCGGTTCTCTACTTTTATTTGGCAGGCTCTAACAAGAAAATGATATAATGGCATTCCTCGGTAGCTCAAAAAGCTAATGAATTAGGTTTCTCCATGTTTGAACGCAAAGTTTGAGTCAGGCGAAACACCTCCACGTGGTGAATGATGTTGATTGAGGCGAAGCTCTGGTGGTGCTTGTCTGCGTAGACGCTGAGCCGCTGCATGCCGAGCCTTTCCTTCGTTTTCATCCATGTCAGAAAGAAAATGTGTGGTATGGAACGCGATTATATACGCATTTAACCGCAGCACCCTCTCCTGTATAGACGTTGAGCGGCTACATGCAACCTTTCATCCATGACATCCCCAGCTCGTGAGTTACTACCACATCTCAGGGCCTCCTACTCGTCCCGCAGTCGTAACCAAGTGGTTAAGGCGATGGACTAGAAATCCAGAGGTTCGAAACCTGTCGACTGCGCAAACATTTTTTTTCATCATTTTTTTATTTTTTTGTTTTTACACGAGCACGTGAGCACGTGAGCTCACGAGCACGAGCACCAGCAAGATCGATGAGAGCACGGACGCCGGACGAATAAGGGTAGACCCTAAGGAGCTTCGCCCCTAAAATTGAATAAGTACGAGCGCAAGAACGTCGTGAAAAACCGCAGGGGCCCTTTTTCTGCTTTGGAAAGAATTTAACAGTCGAAAGAACGGGAGGGGCCGACAGGCTCGGCCGAAGCACCAAAATGTAGTGATTCTCTGATGGATGGACGATGTTGCCGGTTCGACGATCAGGCTGTTACTTGGCAGCAGAAGACATCCAGGAAGGGCCGGTAGAGCGGTTTATGAGGTGTCCTGACGGGAGACGAGGTAGAGGTGGTTGACTTTTAGGTTTAGGTTTAATGAATAGTACAGCAGAACATCGAAACTCAAGAACACGAGCGGCGAAAGAGGCGCGAGTTCGGGCTCGAGCTGGCGCTTGTAACAGCACAAATAGCACCCGTGACGACTCAAGAATCTTGTAAAAGCCTATTATTACATTGCCACTGAGCTGGAACCTGCTACTGATTTGGAAAGTTGACGCGCTACGTACGTACAGATGGGAGATCAGGGGTGCTGTGTTGCGCTTTTTGGACTCCCAGGAGACTAGGGAGAAGGAAGTGACGTCAACGATACAGCAAACGCATATTGGATGTTGACAAAAGAAAACAAAATCAACATCCAATCTGCATTTGTTGCGTTGTTGACGTCACTTCCTTCTCCCTAGTCTCCTGGGAGTCCAAAGCGTGCAACATAGCCCCTCAGAACCGCAGTGAGGGCGGCGTACCCAGTCAAATACCTCTGAGCATGTTCACTCTGTCGATCCTGGGTATCAGTGTTGAATGGTTCAATACGATCAGATACGACTAGTGACGTTTTTAGGTAAGTAAGGTTCACAATGATACACGGCAAAGAGAATATCCTTACCTCATCACAACACAAAACAATCACGTCAAACTTGACCAAACACACGGTCAGCTGATTCCATGGCGTCGAGAACCCAAGGAGAACCAGTGTTGCTGCTCGCGCTGACAAATGCTCATTCCACCAATTTACGCAAATTGCACAACAGACGTGATCTACGCGGAACTGGAAGGATCGCGAAAGATAAAGACGGACATATTGTGTAGTCTTTGTGTAGTTGTCTAAGTTACTAATATCATTTACGACTGCCTGCACGTAAATATCGGTTTCGAAAGTGACCCCCCCCCCCCCCCCGCCGGTTATAACCTGCAGAAAAGTGGTCATTCCACAGCGGTTGAGGTCGTCACCTCACCCAAAGGCTAATCACTCGCCCTTTCGGGCAGTCAAAGCTTCCAAAACGCCATTTTAACTACCAAGGGTAGTCATTTTTTCGAAGAGTGAAGTAATCAAGCAATCTAATTGAATCATTTTATCCAAGAGTACAGTAATAGTAAGCGATTACTTTTTTGGAGTAATGTGTACAAGACTGCACTATGGTCACTGACAGAGGGAGAACAAAAGGAGTTGCCTTTCGAATGCACGCCCCCCCCCCCCCCCCCCCCCCCTCGCGCGCTCAATGCGTTCCATTGGGCTTTGGTTGCGCGCGCGCGCTCAGGGTGCACGAGACGTTGAAGCGTTATCGAAGGTATAGGGAGTATTCACCGGCGGCCATATCCGTGTGCGCTGCTGCCGAGCGCGTGCTGACGGCGAGCTTCCGCAGTCCTTTTGGAGCGTGCATTTAGCACCATCAAGGTTGCCGGTCTTAGCAGACTATTAATGTGAGCTCGTTCTGAGCATGCGCTCTAAACATCGCCTTCAAATATGGCGCCCAGTGAATACCTCCTATAGAAAGTCTGCACTCGAGGCGGGACAGCTAAAAGACCACACTGCCGTCCTCACCTTGGCATTGACTTATTAGCGACTGCAAACAAGGCGCCTGGTCGCCTCCATGTTCCCGTTCGTGCGAACAAGTTCGTGCAACTTCAAGCCTCCCAAAGCTACGTTAACGCTCTCCCTGCACGTGCTTGTCCGTGTAGGACATCCGTCAAAGCGCCATGTTCGCAAACGTTTATGGTATGACCCATGGGTACAGACCCCTTTTCGTGGCAAACGCCACCAGTCGGTGCTCCAGTCTTTGGCATAACAGAAAACATATAAAAGATTGAACAAAGTCCACCTTAACACCGCGGCTTGAAATGTCGATGAAACGTTCAACCACCGATTCTCAAGGTGAGCGCCAAAAGAACGAAGAAGCCCGAGATCTGTTAAGTTTTCCAACATTCTTGCAAACCCACTTGCCTCCTCCAACGCGTTAGATTGTCCAGCCGAAAGCCCTCGTCGATTCGCTAACTTTATTGTCTGTGTAGCATTTATGCTTTCTAGCACTTGAGACGTAAGCAAGCTAGACAAGCTTGTAAAGACGAAACCACCGGAAGTACGATGCGAAGCAAACGGTTTTTCATCTTTGTAAACAGCAAAAGCGTCTATACTCACACACAACACCACTGACCAAGAAGCTTATTTGTCACCGAGTAGTTTCAAAGATAAAGACGCCGCGAGAATCGTAGTTTCTACGTTGTCACGAGGATTACTCCATGGTGGCGATATTCAAATGCGGCTCATAAATTGAACACGAGCACTGCGTGAGCGAGAACTCTATTTTGTGTTCGTGTCAATCAATACCTTGACGAGCGTTCGCGTAGTGGCTCGTGTCCAATCTTTGCAATGACGGGAATATAGCCGAACCAGTGTGTGGAACGTATAGCACGCACCCTTGTGTTTTGTCAACCCCAGCTTCTTGCTATAATAGACGTTGGCGACATATGATTGCCGCCATACCACGTAACCATTTGTTCGTGCTGCGTGTTAAAGGGACAGTGCAATGATTTTTGTATAATTTCAGTAAATACCACTTACATGCACTTTTTAACATTCATAACCTCCGAAATACGCGTTGGCTTTTTCTCCGGACAGTGGCAGTCGCGGAAAGAGATGAATAGAAATGAGCAGCGTTCACCTTCTCAACTCGCAGCCAGAAGAAGCGGCCACGTGATAGGGAGCCAACTTCTATTTTTATTTTTACAGAGTGCACATCAGAAGAAGGGATGAGAACGTTGAGGAAGCCTACCATGCAGTTGACGAGTACATGTTTCATGTGGAGGAATTCTACTCCAAGCTGTCCCTCGTCACAGCTGTTACTACGAAGCGAGTGTTCCTCGCCACCGACGATCCGTACGTTACGGACGAATTCGAAAGAAGGTGAGTTAATTAGTTCGCCTCCACCCGTTGTTTCATAAAATGTCTTTCTTGGGTAACGGTATCTCGCGCGCAAACATAATTCGGTGACACAATTCAAATATCAATATGCCGAATGAAACATGCTCCAAGTTTCGTTCGTCACATATATGTTCTGTTTTTCTGCTCTGATAAAAAAAAACAAAAAAAAACAGGTACGATTCGTTAGATTTACATATGGTATGCATGCTGCAAACAGGGTGTCACAATTCCTCTACGCGGAGCGAAAGTTTGTCCTCTTCTTGCGCAGGGGTTGCAGCGACGTCATAACGCCGAGCTTTGATTGGCTCTGATTGAAGGATAGTGGGTAGACCTCAATGCTATCTGCCTCGAGGTTCGGACGCCACCGCAACCCCTGCGCAAAAAGCAGACGATCTTGCGGCCCGCGTAGTCTCTGACAGCTTAAAGAACGCATGGCGTGGCGAGTTCTCAGCATTGTATTAGCGCTCTTCAGCCAATCAGGTTGGCTATCAGCTGATTGGAATGCCAAAGAACCAATCAGGAGTCAAGGAGCGTGAACATGATATGCCGCGCCCTGCGTTTCTTTAAGCTGTGACTATACTTGGTACGATGAAGAAATGGCAAATGTTTAATGGTTTCTGTTCAGAGCTTGTGTGCTCTGGGCGCGACGCGCCAGCCGGGCAGACGAAGCAGACGAGGGCAGACGAAGCAGACCCACAACGTTTATTACCCTAGCATCAAGTGGCGAAAAGTACCCCGCGTCTCGCGGCGCACGCGCTTATCTAGATCACGATGCGCTCCTGGCGCCATCTCTTGGTCTCCCCTACATCTCCACCCGGAGCTCGTTACTGCACTCTAGTTACACAGTTCGAAAGAAAGCGATGTTTACAAGTCCAACCGTCTTGGTGGCTTGATGGCACGTCCATAGCGTGATCTTGTAACACCTTGCGGGGAAGATGCACGATCCAGAGAGGGTGGAGAGCAGCCCGCAGTGGGCAACTCCCCAGGCTGACCTTCTTCGGGTGGTTGTCCTGGAGGCTCTTCGGCAGCAGGAAGCTCGACAGACTCCCTCGCAGTAACGGTCGACGAGAAGGGCACCAGGTGCCGGCGGTTTCGCTGTAGGATTCCCTTGGGAGTCTCTACGACGTACGACCGTGGTCGTTGGGCAGGGCTCAGGACGCGTGCTTGACAGCTGGCATCCGTGACCCAGACGCTGTCACCTGGCTTGAGAGGATTAAGAGAGCGAGCGTTGTGCCGGCGATTGAAGTCTCTCGCCTGCCGGACCTTATTCCTGGAGTCTTGAGCCCGGAACCTCTCGTGGCTTGGTTGAACTGGTGCGAGTCGCTGCGGCAGAGCAGGAAGACGCGTCTTTAACCGCCGACCCATCAGCAACATGGCAGGAGAGACTCCCGCGACGCCCGGAGTGTCCCGGTAGGTGAGAAGCGCTAGGTATAGGTCTTCGGACTTGTACAAAAGATCCTTCACCGTGCGCACCATGCGCTCTACTGCGCCATTACTCTGCGGGTACCGAGGGCTACTGGTCTCATGCTTGAAACCGTATGACAGAGCAAAGTTTGCGAATTCCTGTGAAGCAAACTGCGGACCATTGTCTGTCCGTACAACGTCCGGTATCCCATGTCGGGAAAAGCAGCTCTTGATAGCCGCGATAACCGCTGAGGCTGACGTAGAGCTCAAGGAGACGACTTCCGGAAACCGAGAGTAATAGTCCACCATGAGAACATAATCACGGCCTTTCAGCTGAAACAAGTCAATGGCTAGGCGTTGCCATGGCCGATCTGGCGTAGGCGTTGACATCAAGGGCTCCGAGTGTACAACCCTTGTTTCCGCACACTTGTCACAGCTGGTGACCAAATGTTCGATGCGGCTGTTGCAGTGAGGCCACCAAACGCTTTCTCTGGCTCTCTCCTTACAGCGGCGAAGTCCTTGATGGCCGTCGTGCAGAAGGGCCAGGACGTTGCTACGCAGAGCAGCAGGAATAACGAGGCGGCAGTCCAGCAGAAGAAGGTCCTCCGAGACTGTCAACCTTCCTCTCTCTTTCCAATACGGCACCAAGTTGGGAGGCAGCTTCCTCTTGTCTGGCCATCCCTCTTGGCAGTAGCGGACGACGAGAGAACATTCTCCATCTTCAGCTTGTCGACGACGAACCTCTTCCAGCCTGTTAGCGAGGGGAGGTGGAAGACCTTTAAATATCTCGCTAGCGAAAATTTCGACGGAGAATACTGTAGAAGAAGACCGGACATCGCAAGGGGCACGTGACAGCGTGTCCGCCGTGGCAAGAAGTCTACCTGGTACGTGCCGAACGTCGAATTGGTAGCGCATCAGCTTTATGCGCATTCGCTGAATTCGCGGTGGCAGCAACTCCAGCTCCTTTTTTCCCAGCAGGGCGACGAGAGGCAGGTGATCTGATTCCACGGTAAAACTAAGCCCGCGCAGATACTGGTCGAACCGAAGAACAGCCCAGGTCACGGCGAGAGCTTCCTTTTCTGTCTGACTGTAGCGTGCTTCAGTCGGAGTCAAGGACCTTGAAGCGAAGGCCACAGCACGACGAGCTCCGGACGGCTGATCTTGCAGCAGTACCGCTCCCAGGCCAAATGAGCTTGCATCTGCGGACAGTATCGTAGGATAGCGTGGATGGTACTTTGCCATGCAGGTTTCCGAGCTCAGCATAGCCTTCAACCGCTTGAACGAGTCGTCTTGGCTTGCTCCCCAGGACCATGCGCTTGACTTGTTGAGAAGTGAACGGATGGGGGCAGTTACGTCTGAAAGGTGCGGCAGGAAGCGTCCAATGTGGTTCACCATCCCCAGTAGACGGCGAACGCCTGCAGCGTCCGTTGGCGGAGGTAGCTCCCGAATGGCTCGAAGCTTGTCAGGATCCGGCGAGATACCATCTCCATCGACGACGACTCCGAGGAACTTGACCGAGGGAACCCGGAATTCACACTTCTGGTCGTTGAGCTTGACCCCGGCTTGCTCAAGTCGTCCCAGTACCTCAGCAAGGCGTTGATCGTGCTGTTCAAGGTCTCTACCGTAAACAAGGACATCGTCGATCATATTCACGACGCCAGGTAACCCCTCCAGGACCCGTGACATTTGACGTTGAAAATATTCGGGTGCAGACGCCAGACCAAATGGCAGACGACGGTAGCAGTAGCGACCAAACGGCGTGATGAACGTCGTTAATTCTTCGCTTGCGTCGCTGAGCTTGATTTGGTGGAAACTGGAGGTCGCGTCGAGTTTTGAAAACACTTTGGCGTCGCCTAGCTGCCCCAGGATCTGGTCAACCGTCGGCAGGACGTATCGCTCCCGCTCGATGACCTGGTTTAACTTGGTCAGGTCGACGCACAGCCTGTACCCACCCGACGACTTGGGGACGACGACAAGTCCGGAGCACCATGCTGTCGGCTTGTCAACCCTTCTGATGACACCTTGAGCTTCCATGCCATCAAGTTCTCTCTTGACGACGTCGAAGAGCGGCAGCGGTATTCGTCTTGGAACGCTCAACGAGTACGGCTGAGCCCCTGACTTCAGACGAATGGTGTACTTTTCTTGGAGTTCGCCCAGTCCTTTAAAGATAGACGGGACACGTCCACCTGTTTTTGCGGACTCGGCGGAGGTGGTGTTCACAAACTTGACCACGCCGAGAGCTTCTATCGCAGGTAACCCTAGAAGCGGTGTAGTTTGAGCCCGCACGACGTAAAGCTGTTGGACGGTGCGCTTGTCCTTCCACGCCAGAGTAGCTTGGAAAGTGCCCAAAACAGGCAGTGGCTGGTTCCCCGGGCCGATAAGCTCTCCTTCTACTGCGTCGAGCTTGCGAGGAACGCCTGGAAGTGACGGCGGAACGACGGTGACGTCTGCTCCCGAGTCCACCTTGAACCTTGTCACGTGGCCGTTGACGCTTACTTCGACGTATCTTGCCCGTTGCGTACGAACAGAGCAGAGTTCGACGGAGCCCAACTTCTCCTTGCGCTTCTTCGCGCGACAAACTTCTGCAAAATGACCTTGCTTTTTACAAAAATTGCAAGTTGCCTTCCGTGCTGGACAATCCTTGCGGTCATGCGCAGAACGCCCACAATTGCCACAAACTGCGTTGTCCAAACGCTGCTGCCGGTTACGTGCGCGCGACGACGGAGCGGATGACGCAGTCTTTTTCTTCGTCGCGTCGACGTTCAAGGCCGCTGCAGCTTGCGCCGAACGGAAAGCGCGCTCCCTCTCAGCATCTTCGTGCTGGCGGGCTTGTAAAAGTGCTTCGTCAGCGGTGAGTCGTGTGGAACGGCACAGCTGGTCCGATAGCTTCTCGTCCAATAAGCCGACTACGAACTTGTCACGCACTAGGCGGTCTTCTATCTCGGGGCTGTTATAGTTGCAGCGTCTGATTAGGGTTCGAAGCTCCGTGAAAAACGCGTCGACTGTTTCCCCAGGCTGCTGAGTCCTGCGGTGAAATCTTCGGCTTTCGTAAATTTCGTTCGCCGGATGAACGAAGTGTTGAGTCAGCCTCTCCTTGACGGCGGCAAACGGTTGCGTCTCCGGGGTTGGCACGCCAAGCGAAGCTAGTATGGTACGAGCTTGCGGACCCATGCAATAAAGCAACGTTCTTACTTGCGTTTCGTCGCTTGCAGAACGTAGACCGGTGGCGAAGGCGTAGTCCTCGTAGGTTTGAATCCACGTTGTCCATTCGCCTGGGCTCGTGAAGACGAACGGCGACGGCGGTTGAAGCCCCGTGGCGGCCCCGAGGTGGACGCTCTTTTCTTCGTCCGGCATGGCGGTAGCGCTGACTACGAGCAGGTGTATCCCACTTCTGACACCATGTTCAGAGCTTGTGTGCTCTGGCGCGACGCGCCAGCCGGGCAGACGAAGCAGACGAGGGCAGACGAAGCAGACCCACAACGTTTATTACCCTAGCATCAAGTGGCGAAAAGTACCCCGCGTCTCGCGGCGCACGCGCTTATCTAGATCACGATGCGCTCCTGGCGCCATCTCTTGGTCTCCCCTACAGTTTCTAGCTATTTTAAGCGGGAGGGTGCCACGAGAGCGCACGACACGAGAGCTCCGACGGCAGGGCGCGCGACACCAGAGAGATCCGCGACGCGAGAGCGTACGACTGCAGAGTGCCGTGACACGAGAGAGCGTGTCATTAGAGCGCGCGTCACGAGAGCGCAGGAGAACAGCTGCAATCACTAAGGTGCCTTTCGCCGTGGCAGAACGTTCATCTATCGAATCCTCTTCCGTAGTAACTGGGCTGTTATACATTGTATTATCTGTTACGCGACAGCCAGCACTGCACGATATGTGAGTGCAGCTTCATATTTCGTCACTAATCATAGGAACGAACGAATTGTTGTCTAGCGCGTTCCAAATTCGACGTTGTCCCGACGTTTGCCAGAATTAAACGTGATATTGACGAAACATCTGCGCTCACGGTAGACTCATGTACCCTACTGGACGCTCCAGTGCAGTTTGGTAGCTGGGGGAAGTATACCTTTGTGGGGAACCTCAAAGGATCGGCAAGGCCACCTACGTTCGCGTAGCGAAGAATTTGAGCAAGCTATAGTTGAAGGGTGAGACCATATACAGGTGTATATCCTCGACTACTTCCGCGATGTTTCACAAACATTCAGCCTTTGAATGTTTATTTTTTTTATTATTATAGAACGGTAATCAATGAACAACTACATCTCCGAAACTCAGGATCTTGTTTTTTTATTTCGAGTTTGCGAAAATTGCATTTTGTAGACTTCCCATAGGTCCCCGAACTCAGCCAATTAAATGATATCACTTACGCGTTCGAAATGCGACTCCCTTTGGTATCAAAATTTCAGCTCCGTGAAAATATGTTTGCAGACTCCAATGTCGATCATTCGCAAGGCGCACACATGCGCTCTAATGACACGCGCTCTCGTGTTGTTGCACTCTCCTGTCGTGCGCTCTAAAGCCCCTTGATAAGGGCGTTTTTACAAGTACCACCAACCATTGCTTTGGAAACGCGCGAGACACGTGCCACGAGTGGGTGCTCCGCCGCCATTCGCTTCCCAAGGCGGCTCATTTCAGTGCTGCGCCGCCATTTGCTTCCAAGGACTGCTCGAGACACGGGCCTCGTGCACTCGTGCATTTGGCCTACTTGCAAGACAAACGCAATCACATCGAGGGGCTTTAGGGCGCTCATGGTGTCGTGGCGCCGTCCTGTCGCAAGCTCTCCCGCCGCCATTCTAGTGTCGTGCGCTCTCGTGTTATACAGCCACTTTAAGGAATGCTCGAAAGTTTCGATGACGTGCAACGCAGCTTTTGCTTGTTGCGTGCACTCTGTGAAAACTGCAGAAACTATGTCTTTTTTACCGTTTCATAACGCGACACTCTTAGCGCGGACAAGATACCGCGGTTTTCGTTTCTTGCCATACTCAAGGGGATGTTATCAAAAGTATCATACCTCGTTTCACCCGAAGTCACATGAAGCTGACATTACGAGCTGATGGGACCATTGAGAGAGTGTCAAAAGGGCCGTGGTGTTCGTCATTGTTTCTGTGCGTGTTCTATCATCGCTCAACCAATCATAAAGAAAAAAAGCCCAGTGACTTGCGCTTTTAATGATGATTTAATCGTCCGATTAGCTAGTCGCGTCAGGTGCTTCTAGACTTAAAGGGAAGCTACGGAGCTTCTTGGAAAAAATGATACGGAGCTTCTTGGAAAAAATGAGTTAGAAGTGAATTCTAGTGTATTTTTACCCCGTGAACCCGAATACCCAAACCATTTGCTGCGTAAGTATTGTTAAACGCGAGAAAAACGCGAAAGACTGTCGCTGTCCGTGACGTCATCGACGGCTATTTTGGCTGCCAAAGGCTAGGGGGGCGGGGCTTCAGCCCTATTTTGAATTTAATTAAACAGCGCACAAGGAGAGGGACAGAAAAGGAAGACAGAACAGGCAAGCGCTGACTCGCAACTGACGATTTACTATGAAAAGGAGAAGGAAGAAAACTACACACATGAACATATATCGGAAAAGAGAAAGATGTGAAAAAGCTAATAAATTAAATAAAATTACACCTAAAATAATTATAGCTGAAAAGGAAAACAAAATAAAATGAAAATCAATCTCTCAAAGTCCTAGGCATGTCCAGTGCCGGCACTCCGAAGCCGGCACTGGCTTCGGAGTGCCGGCTTCCAACTAGCCCAAGTATCCACCATTTTGAACCTATTTTGAAATTGCTCTTGTGGCTCTCCGGCGCGTCGCATTGAAATATAATTTTGATATCTGTTATTCTAAATGCCAAATGAACGCAATTCAAGCGTTTTTTCTCAAATGTAGAAGTGCCCCATCTTCCTTTTAAGCTGAAGCGAACTGTAGTGTGGTGGAGAGTAGTCATTTGATGCACTGACCTAAGGTGTGAAAGTTTATGCTCGCCAACACGAGTGGCGTACCAACTTGTTTTTGAGGGGGGGGCAAGTTAGACCCCCCTTTCACCCCCCCCCCCCCCCCCAGAGCCGGGGGGCGGTGCCCTTGGTATCCCTTGGTAACCCTTGGGCGCCGAAGGCCAGTGTTTGCACTGCCCAGTGGCGGCTCTTTCAGGGGGGGGGGAAGGCAAAACACATGCCTTGCCCCCCCCCCCCCCCCCCCACTCTGAGAACTGGGAGGGGGGGGCGAGCGCCCCCCTTGCCCGCCGGTTGGTACGCCCACGGCCAACACCTTTGCGAACTAAACTACAAAAACGTGCCAATGTTGCGTTCGCGCTAGCAGTGTCGCGCAGTGAACAACCGTCAGCGATATGAAGGTGAACAGCTCTCTTCTTGTTTTTGACGCTCCTGCAAGTTTTGGAACAAGCTTTGATACAGAAGAGGGCTAGAACGGAAAGTTTAGACCGCCAAGCCACGTATTATTTGAGACGTTGGGAGTTAATATAGCTTTAGGGAGCCGTAAAACAGGCAAGAAACCAGGTAAAGTGTTCACCTTCATATTGCCGGCGGGTGTACCTGTGTGTTTTTCTGCTCAGTATTGGAAGGTTCGACTACGCGTAGTTTGTACTCACAAAAACAACCTCTTTAGAGTTTTCCAAGAAGAACCGATTTGACTATTGCAAAAGTTGTGATTTTTAATGACAACTGCTGGTCATTAACGAACATAAATGAACGGCTGGGGTAAAGGATTACTTGGGTAACTAAAATGCAAATAATAACTTAAGTTTAATATTGAAACTATATGACGGAGTACCTCAACTGAACATATCTCGCACCGTTAAGGATTTGAATGCTATGTCATTGGCTGGTTGTTTAATACACATGGACACAATTGTTTGACGAAACAAAATATACGAACACTCTTACATGCAAAAAACTTACTTACCTTCAAGAAATACTCTTAAAAGTTATCAATATTGATATTAGATATATTCTTCCTTTGTTTTTGCATTGAACGGGTAATCCAATAATATCACAAGTATACGACTGTCTATGAAGTGATCAAAAGTTGACTTCTAAGCGCTCACGTTATCGGTAGATTTCCAGAATACGAACTGGTTACCGCCAAGAGGTCGTCTCGCAGTGCCGCGGAGCGCAGCAGGTCGACTTTCTTCGATGCTCTGCTCGATCTCCAGTTGCTCGCCGACTCCGACTTTCTCGTCTGCACCATGTCATCAGGGGTGAGTGAAACACTGCAACAAATATAAAGCCACACTCACACCACTCCTACATCACGTAAAAAACAACAACACAAAGTTCGGTGCAGTCGTGAGGACAGAACAATTGGCGGATACTCTTCAAGCTTTATTTGAAGAGCCTCTCTTTTATGCAGATGTGTGTGCTTCAAAATTGTCTAAAGACGGTTCTTTTTTCTTCCTTTTTTTGTGATCAGCGCGGCCCCACCGTCATAAAAGGAAGAGACACGCCTCAGGTGGTGTTTGTATGATTTGTCAGTAGCGCGACCGCAAAGCGCATTTTTGTGTTGTCTTTCTGGTTACAACGCAATGCAGACTAGCGGTAGACAAGATTAGTTCAAGCCCGCAATGAATAGAAGTTTAGTTTCGTAGAAACTTGTAACTTTGAGTGACACGTAGTACAACTTTAAACTGGCGGTGCAACGATATTGAGTTTAAATGTTTACACAAGCTTACTGGCACTAGTGGGACCCAAGTGTGACCGCATGCAACGCCGCTGACCGGGAAGTTCTTATGTTGCGGCGTAGACTTGGGGATGAATATTAACATTTTCCTTCAGACTCTCTTTCGCAAAACTTGGATACGGAGTGACGGGGATCTCAATATTGCCAGGCGCGTCGCTGAGCAAGCGCGTGCGTTGCCGAATGGTTACCGCGCTTGACTGTCGCGTGGAAGGTCTATAGGTTCGATTCCAGTCAGCGGAATGTTCTTTTACTCATTCTTTCAAATTGACGTTTTTGGAAGTTCGAGAAAATTCTCGTCTGATTGAGTTCCGAATGTTCTACGTGCCGAAAGTTCTACGCCGAATGTTCCAGAAATCTATGAGTGTACATAAAGAACTCCACATGGCGAGAGGAGTCAGTCTCGTCCCAGCGTTCGATCCTGCTGTTATGCCGCCATCGACGCCAGTGACGCTCTATTGTTATCTTCTGTTTTCTTTTTGTTTTGGGCAGAAGTTCGCCCCATTAAACATTTAGTTTCTTCAATTACCATCGGCTCATCAATTGTCATTCCTGACATTTTGGTGGAGCTGCGGGGTATCGCTTTCTGCGCCCGTGAAGCGTGACCCTCCGAAGACATCCCAAAACGGTGAGGTGCTCAGCCCCGGAAAACCTTCGCAGAACATGCCGATGCCCGAGCGAGCCGCCGTACCAAAGACCAATTCCTGGAATTCGGACCCCTGCCGCAGAAACCAAAGACCGCGACTATATAACCACTCCACCCGACGTTACCCTACCCGTCGCTGCCCGTACGCCCGCAATATTCCATGGTGAGCCTTATGAAGACGTCGAGCACTGGCTACAGCAGTGCGATCGCGAGTGGCCCAGCACAACCGATGAACGGACGAACAGCGGTCTTGACTTCGCGCTTGAAGTCAAGACCCCGATTCTCGAACCAGGCACTGGTTCGAGAATCGCGTAACTTCCTTGACCTCGTGGACCACCTGCAAGGATCCACTGAGACAGACATTCACGAACTAATATCGACGGTAGAGGGCCGAGGACCTTCTTCGATTGAGGACTTAGGGCGCAACCGAGACTATCACCAGTTTGGTAGAAGATGTTCTGCGCCTGCAGGTCCCTCGCGCCGACCCTCAACCACCGACGAAAAGAAGCTGCGGATCTTGATGCGAGGAGCAAGGGACGCCATCTTCGGAGGTCTTGTCCGCAACCCCCTATCCACCGTCGAAAGTTTTGCCAAGGAAGTCACGAACATGAAACCTGCCCTCCTCACAAGAGCCAGCCACTACCATTGGCATTCAAGCATCGCTGCTGCTTCTGCATTGGGATACGACATCAGTCCCAGAACCCCCGGCATTCGCGGCATCATCCATGAAGTCGTCCGGGAAGAGCTCTACAAGATGCTCCCAGCTGCGGATAACCCGTCCTCACTATCGCTTGCCGATGTTGACCGAGAAGAAGAGCACGGAGCCGTCCAGCCTGAAGTTCCCATCAACACGACGACGCCAGAGGAACCAACGTTGAACTACGCTGCCATGGCCCGACGACCGCCGCAAGCTAACCGCCAGGCCACGGCACCACCCCGACGAGACCCTCCGATGCCGCAGTATCCTCGGCGTCAGAAAGGATAGGTCCAGTACGTCCGTCCGGAGCGACCCTCGCCGAGAAATACCGACGTGTGGCGGACAGCCGACAGACGACCACTGTGCTACCACTGCGGTAAGGCTGACCACGTCTACCGGATGTTCCCGTACCGTCAAATGGGCCTACAAGGGTTTGCGCCGAACGGCCCTCGCCCAAGGTATGGAGAACGCCCTCGTGACACCGAGGAATACATACGTCGCCCTCCGTCATTAGCACCGACAGCACCACCAGGTTCCCGTTCTCCATCTCCCCGACGTCCCGAATCGCCCTTCCGTCGGTCGCGCCGTGACAGCATGTCTCCCATTTCCCGCAGGGAAAACTAAGCGTGGCAACTCCCGGAGGTGAAGTTGCCGTTGACGGACGACGTAAAGAGCCCACGAACGCCGGAGCGCTCCCACTCTCCCTACGCCACGCATTGCAACAACGTTCCGGCAACGGTGCCCAAAACTTAAACGTTGTTATTGACGGCCACAACGCATCAACACTCGTGGACACCGGAGCAGATTACTCAGTCTTGAGTGAAAGGCTCTCTCAACGCCTTCGAAAAGTGACGAGGCCGTGGGAAGGGTCGCTGATACGAACCGCCGAAGGACACTTGATCACGCTTGCCGGAAGGTGCACTGCTCGCGTCGAAATTTCAGGCGAGGCGTGTTCTGTGAAATTCGTCGTTCTACAAGACTGTTCCAGGGACGTCATTCTAAGCATGAACTTTCTGTGTGAATACGGCGCCGTCATCGACCTTGGAGAAAACAGAATGACGCCGCAGACACCTGTTCCGCCTTCACAGACACTCCAAACTCCGTCAGCCGCCGTCCGAGTCCCTGCCGACCACGTGAACCTGCGCCACGATCAAGTGTTGTCGTACCCGTCGTGACCGATGCAGCTACCTGCGGCGAAGTTGTTCTGAAAGGTAACCTTCAATTGCTTCTGGGAAGAGAAATGGGCGTCTCAAGAGGAGTAGCTGAACTTCAGGATGGGCGCACTGTGGTCCTCGTGACGAACTTCCATTATGAAACGCAACACCTCAATAAAGATGCAGCTGTGGGCCATGTCGAGGAACTCCGGAACTCTGCCGAAATCGTCGCGATTACTGAAGAATCATCGCCACCTCAGCAAGACTGTACGTCACCAGCGCAGCTTGACATTGACCCTAAGCTTCCGGGTCCAAAACGGTGGCAGCTGTGTGATCTCCTCGCCGAATACAGCAACTGCTTTGCGAGGTCGTCACCACCGTTGCGAAGCGTCGCATTGTTACCGAAGATGACGCGCTCTCTGTGCATCGATCGCCATACCGAGTCTCCGTAAAAGAAAGGAAGGTCATCTATCTGCAAGTGCAAGAAATGCTGAACGACGACATAATCGAGCCTTCAAGAATCCGTGGACCTCTCCAGTGTACTGGTTGAGAAGAAGGACGGAAAGCTTAGGTTCTGCATGGACTACCGGCAGCTGAACGCCATGACGAAGAGAGACGTCTATCCACTCCCCCCCCCCCCTTCCCCCAATAGACGACACGCTAGGCCGGCTGCGCCACTCTTGATATTTTTCATCGATTGACCTGATGAGCGGCTACTGGCATATCTAATGCTGAATTCCGCTCGAAAATTTCGAGCGCTCCAAAAGCGCTCCATTTGTAGCGTGCATATTCCGCTCGCAGATCTGGCTCGAGCTGGTCATCTTCCTCTCGTAGATCTCTGGCAACGCTCGCTCCACGGAGCGCCTCAAACCCCGCCGAACTTGCTCTGCGGGATTTCACAGATCTTTCCGGAAGTTGACGGGGCGCCCTACGTCATTGCCTTCTAAATGCGCAGTGCGCATTCGCGGCGAGGTTGGCGAGGTCGCCGGGCCGGTCGGGCCACGGTCGGGTCGTCGAGTTGGATGTGTTCGGGTGCGTCGGTTGTTTACGTGGGATTGTGACGGCTTGAACGCTTCTACCTCACGTAGATCCGGGATACAAAGCCGGGACTGTGGTGCGTGGTAAATCGTAAGCGTTGATATCTGTGATCGTGAGAGAAGGAACGAGAAAAGGAACGACATAAAAGCCGGAGGCAGACGCAGGGTTAGGCCTGTTCATTCTGCAGCCGAAGATTATTTACCTTTTTACACTGCATTCCGCCGGCGTTTTCCTGTGCAGTAAAGCAAGAAGTGATTAGGCAACGACCGTGCAAGTGATGATTTATTACCTCTGTGTTTATTAAAGTCGTACCAGAAATCTGAACTGCACCACTGGCAATCGCTGTCCGTGCCCCGCCGCTTCGATGCGGCCGAAAGGTATGTGAAGGTATTGAACGCGGACGTCTTCGTTATTTGCGACTTGGGCGCTGTGATACGAATAATTTTGCCCGGCCCGTGTCGCGTGTTATTTCTGCGTTAGAAAGATCAGTCGGCTGAGGCGTTGGCGGGCTCGTCGAGTTCGAGCAGCGGCCATTTTGAACGGCCGAGGGGATAGCGGAGGGGAGGGGTCGCTCCAAAATAAGCGAGTTCATCTTCCCTTCGTCGATTCGGAGCGGGTCCCACGGAGCGGAATTTTGCCTCCCTCGCGGATTTTGGGAAGCGCTCCGGATCTACGAGTGGAATTCGCCATAAGTCGACGAACGGGACCGAGGGAATTCATTCGTCATGCCAGATGGATTGTGCGAGTTCAAGGTGACGCCCTTTAGACTATGCACGGAACCAGCAACTTTCCAGCATGTCATGGATACCGTACTGGCTGGGTTGAAGTGGTAGAGCTGTCTCGTCTACCTTCACGACGTCGTAGTGTTTTCAAGCGAATTCAACGAGCGTTTGCGACGACTCCGAACTGTTCTCCAAGCCATACAGACCGCCAGTCTCACTCTCAAGCAATCGAAGTATCGGTTCGCCTTGACGAACTGAAGTTCCTAG